GTATTTATATTTGTGTACAAGCTGTTCAGATTGTCAAAAAAGCCTGTGTTTTTAGGGTTAGTAACGAAGTTCGTGTACTCAGACCAGTAAAATATGGGGTTACAAGTTTTTGCCATGGATATTTTGTGGGTCAGAAGACAAAAAGTTTGGGAACCATTGATCTAAATAACCATGCGAATTGTGTAACATGCTGTTACACAATTTCCTCACCAGGGAGCAGTGACATTTAACACATCTTAGTTACAAGTCTGCTGTTTTATACATATAACAGTAAAAAAACATACATATTTAAGTTATGTTTAATAATTTCATTCATTTAATTTACCCTAATTGACCTGACATTAATTGCATGTCACTGGCTTCCTGTTTGCTAAATTTTGGACTAAGATCACTTTATGCTGAGAAATAACGGCGTTGTAGTTGTTTCGATCAAACCTTGAAAATARCATTATGTTCAACATCGTGCAGTGTAAGGTGTCACTCTCAGAGTATTTGTTGCAAATGACTCTCAGCTGCTACCACACTCAATTTTAACTCAGTCTCTATACGACTGGATGAGTCGTAGCCCTTTTCATGTTTGCTAAGGTTGTTTTGTTGAGGCGGATCTCTTAAATGTGGTGGATTCTGAAAGTTAATCAGCTGTAGTCTAGGCGGTCAGGCAATGATTCTTTTCTGAAAACTTCATTAAAGTCTGTTCTGTGCTTTGGGAGACATTTTGCTAACACAGCACACAAAGGCAAAAACACCATCACCCCMTTTGCCTGTGGTGGGCAACAATAAACGTCTACGCAAAAACAACGTGATGAGCAAAACATTTTATTCCCTTCAGAACTGACAAACTATTTATTGTTTACAGTTTTCATTATTTGATTACAAAGACAACATATTCCTTGCCTTATTCATTTACTGTTTAAATAAAACAATTTAAGTATTTGCATTTCTTATATTATTGTATTTGGCCCGCGGCCCTCAGATTGATTTTAATTTTGGCCCTCTCAGGGAAAATGTTTGGGCACCCCTGGTCTACGCAAAAACAACGTGATGAGCAAAACATTTTATTTCCTTCAGAACTGACAAACTATTTATTGTTTACAGTTTTCATTACAACATAAAGCTATTTAGATATAAACTGCCAAAATTGAAAATAACTAATTATACTTATTGTTGATAAAAAAAAATCATTATATGTATTTGATTACAAAGACAACATATTCCTTGCCTTATTCATTTACTGTTTAAGTTTCCAGTTTTCATTTTATTTTATTCCTATAGCGTATTTTTACCATATCTGTTTTTTTTATTTAAGAATGTATTTATTTGTGTTTTGTGTCCTCATTGGATTTTGTTTGTTTTCTTAAGCATATTTCCTCTTCTTCAAGCAGTAAAGCTGTTTTTATTTCAGGAAACCGTTGTCATTTGTTAGGTATCTATCACTGCGTGGTGGTCCGATTTCATAAAGGAACCAGATTTAGAAAAATGTCCCTTCCTGTTGTACCACTCTGGTGCCAGTGGTTTCTTTGTAATTCACCAGACTTTTGTTCTCCCTGTGATCAGTTGAACTGTGGAAAGCACAGTTGTTTTAGAGATTTAAAACTGTGCCAAGCCATCTTAACAATGGCTGATGTTAAACCAGAACAGGTACTGACTAAAAGATATATTTTTGTATGATGAATCAGCAACTCAGACTGCAGTTCAAACAGCTTAAATGCAGAAAGGAAATGATAAATAGACATGGGTTTTTACGATGTAAAAACGAGTGTGCATTGCCACGTAGCATGTCATTGCAGCATGGCTTTGCCTGCAGCATTGGACTTGCAGGATGAGTTTTGACCAGGATCAAATATGTTTTCTAAACCAGCTTGTGCCTGTCACCTCAGCAGGTGTTTGTAATTAAGGTAATTGTGTGACAATATGAAGTTTGAAGAGATTTTTGTTAAAGTTGCGTTAGCTGGATTTGAAACCTGATCTCCCACATGAAAGGCCACAGTGCTCATCATGAGATATGAGATGTGGCAGAGGACAATCCCAGGGATTGGATTGTATGTATAC